GCAGAAATTTCACAAGGATATACTAGCAAAATAACGAGAGTAAAAAAGTCTCATTTTACAGAAGTATAGCCTTTTATACCAAAGGCAAAATACGCCCCAACGGCTGTGATTAATTCAATCTAACGGCTGCAGAGACACCGTTTCGAATTCGACGGTTAACTATTAAACGACACCATTTCGAATTCAACGATTCGCTTTTCAAATCTACCCGTTGGACTGTTGTAGTTATCTTTTTTATAGTGGCATTTATTACGCACGTCATTCAGAGGACAGCTGTCGCGTCACGTGCCGCGTCTTAATCAGACCTCTCAGACGGGCCTATTTAAGCCCATTTCAACACTCCTTTCCACTTTTGTACATTTTAAATTTTGACAAGTATTTTACTTCGGCTCCGGCCACAGTGACCCAATGTCACTCATTTTACTTCGGCTCCGGCCACAGTGACCCAGTGTCACTCATTTCACTTCGGCTACAGCCACAGTAACCTAGTGTCACTCATCTTACTTCGACTATGGTCATTTATTCAAGAGAAGTCATGGATTTTTATCTCCGTAGCTCATCTTAATTTCTCTTTATGCACTGCCCCTATTACTTCCACCAACATCATTCACAAGTGAATGACTTCCGGGGGGGAATAGTGTAAGGGTAAGTCCAGAGCTTCCCGCTAGAATAGCTACACGGCAGTTACGATGGACATCCTTGTATCTAGATATATCTCAATCTCCAGTCCCGAAATAACTGCTTGGAGATACATATCACATCCCGGATATTTTGCTTAGCTCAATCTCCCGGTCCCGAAATAACTGCCTGGAGATACACATCGGATCCTGGATATCTTGCTTGGCATCTTGATTGGCATGCCGCGTGGATTCTGCATCGGAACATATAAATACCTCTTAAGGGCCACGCCCAAAGGTAATTGGAACTAACCCTAAGCTCCTTGTGTCTACGCTTTAAAGGTAGCCCCGATTATTGCTGACTTAAGCATCGAAGTGTCTACCCGAGGATCCACCTCGGGGCTTTGCAGGTTAATCTAGGGTGCAGAGGCTTTGCAGGTTAATTTAGGGTGCAGATACAGACTGAAGAAGGACTTCCGGTTTGGTGCACTTACAAGACCCTCCTAAAAATTTGGTTCCAGATATAGCTTTCCCTTTCTCCCTCCACGGCACAGAGATCTGAGACAAAACGGGAAGCAAATCTTCATCTCTTTATGTCTCGAACTCCGAACTATGAGTTTCAGGAATGGTGGAACATGCAGCGGGAGAAGAACCAGGTGCTCTTTTCCAACGAAGCCTCTCCTAACGGTTTTCTCACCGTCCAGATCGGGAGCACCGTCCCGGATAGGACGGCTGAAAAGGATCGCGCGCGGAGTGCGCGCCAGCTGTCGTGGCTTTGGCTGTTGAAATTCCAGCAACTCGCCAGTTCCCTTGCGTGGATCACGAGCTCGTCCATTCTCCTTCTACGTACCGCTAATCGCCGAATCGCGTCTCCCGATTCGCCTTCAGATTCTTCCGCCTCTAGGCTGTACCGGATAATTAAGTTCTTTTTGGTTTTGGTGATTCTGTTACTCTGCGTGGAATTACTTGCGTATTTCAAGGGATGGCATTTCAGTCCGCCTTCGGCGGAGTCCGCGGAGATGGCGGTGGAGCTTGTTTACGCAAAGTGGCTTCAAATCAGGGCGGGTTACTTGGCGCCGCCATTGCAGACCTTGATCAATGTGTGTATAGTGCTGTTTCTGATTCAATCGGTGGATCGCGTGGTGCTCATGCTGGGATGCTTCTGGATCAAGCTTCGGAGATTAAAACCATCTGCTCCTCTGGAATATCCTGAGGGGCCAGTAGAGGGGGAGAATCTAGAGGATTATCCCATGGTGCTTGTGCAGATTCCCATGTGCAATGAAAGGGAGGTAAGCAGATGTAGGTTTCCAATCCCAACCTCTAAAACCGACCTGTGGAAGTGAGTTAATTGGTTGTTTATTAGCTAATTGTTTTCTCTGTGCTGCTGTGCTTTTTTTTTTTTTTTCCCCTTTTTTTTTTTGGTGTTTGATTTTGTATTTCTATTGAATGAGTTTGGAGTGATGGATGCATCAGTTCAGTTCGTTAGGAAACCATGAATTTATACTATTTATGACTGGATAGATCGAAGAAGGATGAGTCAATTGCTCGTGTCTGCAATTGGAGCAACTATAAATCTTAACAGCTAGTCCTTACTGAGTTTTCAGCTAAACCATTGAATTGAAAGTGCTGATGTTTTTCCTATCCTTTTAACTCTATCATCTTGGTTAGCTAGTGAAATCCCTGCACTTGATGATTCAGAGTCAGCAGGTTTATTGGAACAGTTGTACAGCAATTCCAGCTTTCTTTTAGTTTGCCATTTCTACTCACCTGTTGTTTCCTAGTTTTTTTCCAGTACTAAATTGTAACTTGATGCCACACAGGTTTACCAACAATCGATTGCAGTAGTTTGTATTTTGGACTGGCCTAAGGAGAGAATGCTTGTACAGGTTCTGGATGACTCTGATGAGTTAGATGTTCAGCTTCTTATAAAGGCAGAAGTACAGAAATGGCAACAAAGGGGTATCCACATAGTATATAGGCATCGTCTTATACGAACGGGCTATAAGGCAGGGAATTTGAAATCTGCAATGAGCTGTGATTATGTAAAAGATTATGAGTTTGTGGCAATCTTTGATGCTGATTTTCAGCCAGCTCCAGAGTTTTTGAAGAAAACTATTCCTTATTTCAAGGTAAATTAAAATCCATATCTAAAAGGAGCTTCATTGGCTTAAAAGGAGGTTTGACTTCTAAAGGCAAAGGTGAAATTGTCGTATCTTTGGATTCTTGTGTTATTCTGTTATAGATCCATTTGTGTTGGTAATTCTTTGCAGATGAGAATGCTTGTTTTTTGTGCTGATTCCTTTTTTTTTTTTTTTTTTTCTCTTTTACAATTTTCTGGTTGTTAAAAGTCAGTGTAGCTTACATTCTAAGAATAATGATTAATTCCTTACTAAAATCCTGTCATTATTGGTTAATGTGGAGCAGAACCAGCACAATATAATTGGATTGCAGAAACTACTATTGTTTCCTGTTGTATCTGCTTAGATTTATAGACATTGATACTTCCTCTTAAGGTGCTGTCTCAAGCATTTTGTTTGTATTGGATTGTTAATTATCAATGAATTGATTGAGGCATGATCAATTTCCTCTTCCAAACACATGAAGCCTCAACCTTTGGCCCTGGATTTGTTGAATTGGGACAAACAATTATCATATCTGATTCTAGTTCTAGTTTGTGATTTATAATTTGTTAAGTTCTCTGTGAACTGTTTGATTTCCTCTTCAGAAGATATCTGCCTCCCTATGTTCTCAAAATATCATAACTAGGTAATCTACCTATCATTTTTTGTCTGAATGGAGTGTGGTTTCCTGTTTTTTCTTCCAGGGAAATGATGATATAGCATTAGTCCAAGCAAGGTGGGCCTTTGTGAACAAAGATGAGAACTTGCTTACCCGTTTGCAGAACATAAACTTATCCTTCCACTTTGAGGTTGAACAACAGGTCAATGGTGTGTTTATCAACTTCTTTGGTTTCAATGGAACAGCTGGTGTCTGGAGGATCAAAGCCCTTGAGGAGTGTGGTGGCTGGTTGGAACGAACAACTGTTGAGGACATGGATATTGCTGTCCGTGCTCACCTCTGTGGATGGAAATTCATATATTTGAATGATGTAAAGGTAAGTGATATATCACCACATACATATTTGCCTCTCACATCTGTAATGAGAAGGTAAAGTTTACTGATCTTTGTTTTCAGTGTATTTGTGAACTTCCTGAGTCCTATGAGGCATACAAGAAACAGCAGCACCGCTGGCATTCAGGTCCGATGCAGTTGTTCCAATTGTGCTTCTTTGACATACTTCGCTCAAAGGTATGATGGTTTCTTCTTCTTGGTATGGACATCCTCTAAGATTATTCTTGTGAGTTACCCTTATTATTATCTTATGTGCTGGAAGCTAGATTCCTTTTCAGTCTCACATTGTTGAGTGTCAGTGCTAAATCTATTAAATTACATGCATTCTGAAGGAAGTTAAATTCTCTCTCTCTCTCTCTCTCTATATATATATATATATATACATACATATATACATATATATATGTTCAAGATTCATATAATGGAATTTCCAACTAAGGAGAACAGTGTAGTCATCAATTAAGTGTTTCTGAGGGTAAGCAGTGGGTGATGGGTTAGCTTTGCAAAACAAGTATGTCATTCTGTCATTGTTTGGCTGTTATCCTAGATTATTTTCCTAATTGACATCTCTGATTGGTTAATTTGTCCAATCAAATGTTCTAGGATAAACAATGGATAGGGGTATTCTACTAAAATTGTTGCCAGTATGATGTTTCCACGGTTTCTTATATTTGTGAATGCATGTCAACATTTGTACTTTTGGACACTATGTAGTCATTTTGTTCTGATCTTATTTGTGGATTTCTGTCTCATTGTGGTTCTACATTCCAGGTGAGTTTGCCAAAGAAAGCCAATTTGATATTTTTGTTCTTTCTGCTACGGAAGCTTATCCTGCCTTTTTACTCATTCACTCTGTTCTGCATCATTCTTCCTTTGACGATGTTCCTACCAGAAGCTCAGCTACCAACTTGGGTTGTTTGCTATATCCCTGGATTCATGTCTGTCTTGAATATTCTTCCAGCACCACGTTCATTCCCTTTCATAGTCCCCTACCTTCTATTTGAGAATACCATGTCCGTTACCAAGTTCAATGCTATGATATCCGGATTATTTAGGTTTGGGAGCTCTTATGAGTGGATAGTAACGAAAAAGTTGGGAAGATCTTCAGAGGCTGATCTTGTTGCCTATGAAGAGGAGTCGGATGGCTTAGTCGAAAGTACTGCTCTCCCAAGGTCATCCTCAGAATCAGGCCTTGAGGAACTAAGCAAACTAGAGTTCAGCAAGAAAACCTCGAAAGCAAAGAGAAACCGTCTGTATAGGAAAGAACTTGGTCTTGCATTTATTTTGTTAACTGCCTCAGTAAGAAGCTTGTTGTCAGCTCAAGGAATTCACTTCTACTTTCTATTATTTCAAGGAATCAGTTTCCTCATAGTTGGTCTTGATTTGATTGGGGAACAAGTAAGTTGACCCAGAGATGGTTTTTAAAAGCTCTTCGCCCCCCAGATGTTACTCTCGACGGCAGGTCACTTGGGCAAAGATTTTATGTTGCCCTCGTCGATCATTCATGCCTGCAGTTCATACATTTGTTCATTGCAGGTTTATAAGCTTATTTAAGTAAGGCAGGATATCAAGTCCTTATAGTTGTCAGGCTATGCTTTTGATTACCGTGAAGTTGTATCAGACGGTTTTCAAATGGGAAATGGCCTTCAATACTGATGTTAGGGAGGTTGAGGTTTCTGTCCATCTGATTTCTTGTGTAAACAGTGTACACATTGCTGGCCCCTCGTTCAGTGAAGCGGGCTTCATTGAGAGTCATTCTTTAAACTTTGTTAGATTGTGTACGATTGTGTGTAGTGTTCAACATTATATCAGTTTTTAGATTTAATTGTTATTCATGAATATCGAAATCGAATATTTTTCTTTGGATAAGTTTAAATCTTGTATCTCTTCTTACACGAGGGAAAATAATAACGAATTGTAATAAATATGGTTCAAATAACCCTGACCAACTGGTATAGGTTATTTTTTAGCATGAGGCGTTGGAAAATAATCTACATAATTGACACTAGTATTTTTTCAATGCTAAGTGTTGGAAAGTATGTTCAGTATACAAATAAATTATTTAATTATGTGAAACATCCTTAGAGTTTTCAAATATAGTACCTTTAGTTATTTTCCAATGCTTTGTGATGGAAAATAAGTTTATTAAAAGTTTTAGAATCAAATATTCAAGTACTATTTTTTCAAAAATTCTCAAGTGGCGCTACATGTGAGTGTTAGAGGTGGCAATTTGTCTCGATTCCCATAGACCCTGTGGGGATCCCCGCCAAGGGAATGAGATGAGGAGGAATATTCCTCGCCGTGGGGCGAGGATAGAGGGTATTTTCTCCCCGTGAAATTTCGCGCGGAGCTTTTCTCACAAAAAATTTAAAAAATATGTAAATTAATTTTATTTTAAATTTAATTCAACCTTCAAACCCAAACTCAAACCCAATTCAATAAAAATTAAACTTAACCCAATTTTACCCAACCCAACCCATCATTAACCTTTGAACTATTTATGTTAGATTAATCTTTATTTATATTTGGATAATTTATATTTAATTTTATATTTAAAGAATTTTAGTTAATTGTACTTGAATTTTTAAAATTTTATTCATTATAATTAAACATTAATTTATTATATATAAAAAATTTATATTTTGATATTAATTGGCTTGCGGGGAACGAGAATGGAGGGCAAAATCTACCCTCCAATAAAAATCCCCATGGGGATCCCCATCCCCGCCATTCGTGCAGGGTCAGGGACGAGGAAGAACTCCCTAGCCTTATGGGGCCCTATTAACATCCCTAGCGAGTGTGCCACTTGCTTTGTTGAAAAGCAAGAAAGGAGGATTTTCCCAATGACCTTCTCCTTCCTCACAATTGATCTCCTTGTGAATGGCTGGAAGAACATTGGTTTAAAATGAAATATGCACCTTCAAACGATTTGCAAGAGGGAGAGATGTCTTCCTGCAAAATGGGTTGCTAAATCTACTTTGGACAACTCCAAGGAGTTAAATACTACTGTGAATTAAAGTTAACAGGTCCTAAATGAACTAAATGGCAAGTAAATTAGCTAATAAAAGATGCATCCAAATTAAATTAAGCATGTTCATTGTTGAATTAAACTACTATCTATAGACAAATCTGGAAATCAAACTACTATAAAACTGGAGATTTAACCCTAAATAAACATGAACCTAATATGAACAAAGGTTAAACTAACATGCCAAAAATTATGAAGAAGCGTAAATGCCATATAAGTAATCATTTGAATAAACACAACTTATCATAAACATTAAACTAATACCAATCAAAAAAAGAACAATATCTTGTAGAAATTGAAAAGCTTGATGTTCATTACATGAAAAGAAATCGTAGAAGTAAGTACATGAACTAATTTGGCTGTTTGAACATTGAAACAACCTAAATCTACTAGGAACTATGTTGAAAACCAAAATATGTAAGTTACAGCGAGTAATCGCTATGAAACTAGATTATTGAAAATTTGATAAATTGTGTATAAGGTTGGCTATATGTTGAATGATTAGAAAATTTTCTTTTATTTATCTCTTCCTCGCTTGCAACTCCCTACTACCTGGCAGTTACACGAATGTGGGTGGTTTCCTGAAGAAGATGGACACCTTAACAATAGATTGAGTCTGATGTCTATCCAATTTCACCATCTGTCCCTGTTATCTACCAATTCACAATTTTAATTGAAACAAACTCCTAAAAACTAGTTGAAGCAATTCCACCATGACTCAAATGGGCAACTAATAGATAAATCTCATCTTTTTAGCCCTTTCCTTTCCTTTTTTTTTTTTTTCTTTTTCTTTTTTCAAAATTATACGACATCTAATCTGTCAAAGGCCCTAGAATAGCATATCCAATGTGGCTCAATCTCATCCAACCATTTAAAAAAATTGACACGTGGCATAATCTTAAATCTTGCAATTTATGGTGTAAACAATGCCCCTCAACAATTGGATTTAACACTTGGTTTTATGGAAATAAATCCAAGTGTTTTGAATTAAATAAATTGCATGCAAACTCCAATTCCCTATGCCACATGTTAGATTTCAACCACCAAAATACACATGTTAAACAACACCAAGATCTAAAAGAGGAGATCTCAAACCTTGAGGCCATGCTTGTAGAACTGAAGAAACAGATCTCAAAGGAAGAACAAACAAAGTAGAGCTTGGTGGTGCAATGCAACAAACTCCACACAAATATAAAAGCAAACTTACAAGCACTTTCCAACATCAAAGCACAACTTCCTTCTTTCACAACCTCTGTAGATGAGGCCGCTAACAAGCTTTAGCATATGAAGGAAGAATGGAGTGATCAGCGAAATCACTCTGCTAGATTTTCTCTTCCATGCTTATCTTACTTTGAACTATATTTTGCATGTTTTTGGTCTTTGAACTTGATGTTTGTGGCCTAGAGGCCATGCAAATTATTACTTTGATATCAATTCTTGCCTTTGTCCATGCTTTTGAGAACATGTTTGTTGCATCCCTTATTCTTATTTTGCAACAGGTTAGAATTTGTCACAACCATAATCTGGCCACTTTGATTACTCATGGCCAACTATGGCCAGCTTACAAATTCGAATTAGCACTTTTATTAAATTATAAAATGTTAAACAGGAAAGATAAAGTACTATACAATTTCTACCCCAAATCAACCTTAAGTAGAACTTGACGTATCCAGACCTTTAGCATCCCATACCATAGGATAGTAAGGTTTAAGTTAGATACCATTTATTTTTCGAGGGTGTAACTCTCCATTTAGTGATTGAAGCCAATATGATCCCCCTCTAAGCACTTTATGGATGCAAAATGATCCTTTCCAATTGGGAGACCATTTTCCAAACCTAGGATCTTTCTTTCTAGTTGGTAGAATTGCTTTCCAAACCAAATCACCTTCTGCTTGACGTCCGGACTTCACCCTCTTGTTATAGCCTATGAGGATTTGTTGCTTATGGCTGAGCTTCAATTATGGCAAGTCGAAATGCTTCCTACATCTATTTTGTAACAACCAGAAAAGCTCTCTGATTTTCTATAATTTTCTCTTGCCAAACTCTTGCACTTTGCTTAATAGAACGTCACATGTTGGCTACAACTTGGACCAAATTTTGGATGGACTCATCAAATTGTCTGGCTAGCTCTTGGCTTCTCTACTAAGCTCTTTCCTCAAATTCCAACTATGTTTGTTACATCATGCTAATTTGTTTTGACATAACCTTTATAAAGGAGTCACTTGATTAAGCACCATCATCTCTGGAGTCACTATCCTTGTTGAAAGTTGAATTGACAAATGAGTGTTCCCTAAATGCTGGTAATGATGGTGGAATGACTAGCTCATTCTCTCCTTCTAAATGTGCTAGACTACCTTCACTAATCCCAATTTGTAAAGTTTGGGCAACTTTTCTAGTGTTCTTGTTTGGTAGCATAGTTACGCCTCTTCTTGGATAAAGGAAAAGTGGATTTGAAAACTGTAAGTAAGACACAGTGAGGTCCCACCAAGCATGCCACAAAAGGATTGTTTCCTTAAAAATCCTTAAGTGGCTTCCTAAAAAATGCTCAAGTGGCTTTACACATACAAAATTTGGATGAGGATGTGTCACTTGCTCTGTTGAAAAACAAGAAAAGAGGATTTACCCAACGACCATCTCCTTCTTCATGGTCGACTTCCTTGTGGATGGTTGGAAGAATGTTGATTTAAAATGAAATCTGCGCCTTCAGATAATTTGCAAGAGAGAGGGATGCCTTCCTACAAAATGAGTTGCTAAATTTGCCTTGTATATCTCCCGAACTTAAACACTACCATGAATTAAAGTTAACAAATCCTAAATGAAATAAATGGCATGCAAATTAAAGTAAATGTACAAATTAAAGTAAATTTGCAAATAAAAGATGCATCCAAATTAAATTAAGCATGTCCATTGTCGAATTAAACTATTATGTACAAAGAGATTAGAAATCAAACTATTACAGAACTAGAGATTTAACCCTAAATAAACACAAATGTAATATGAACAGAGATTAAACTAACATGTCAAAAATTACGAAGAAGCGTGAACACCATATAGGTAGTCATTTGGAGAAATGCTACTTATTATAAACATTAAACTAGTACCAATCAAAAAAAGAACAATGCATTATAGAAATTGAAAAGCTTGATGTTCATTACATGAAAGGAAATCGTAGAAGCAACCACATGAACTAATTTGGCTATTTGAACACTAAAAACAACCTAAATCTATTGGGATCTATGTTGAAAATCGAAATTTGTAAGTTACAATGAGCAATCGCTATGAAACTAGATAATTGAAAATTTGACAAGTTGTGTGTAGAGCTAGTCATGTGTTGAATAATTGAAAATTTTCCTTTGGTTTGTCTCATCCTTGCCTGCAACTCCCCACTATCGAACAATTACATGAACGTGATTGGTTTCCTAAAGAAGATAGACACCTCAACAGTAGACTGAGTCAAATCTCTGCCCAGATTTTGCCATTTGTCCCTGTTATCTACTAGCTCACAATTTTAACTAAAACAAACTCCTAAAAATCAACTGAAGCAATTCCACCATGATTCAAATGAGCAACTAATAGATAAATCTCATCTTTTTAGCCTCTTCCTTTCTTTCTTTCTTTCTTTTTTTTTTTTTTTTTTAATTATGTGGCATCTAATCTGTTAAAGGCCCTAGAACAGCATATTTGATGTGGCTTAGTCTCATCCAACCATTTAAAATAACTTGACACATGGTATAATCTTAAATCTTGCAATTTATGGTTTAAACAAGTACCTTTTTTTCTTTAAAATTTTTTAATATTCCATTTATCATCATTCTTTTCAGCACCAAATAATTTTATCATCGGCTTGTAGTCCAACATTCAATTGCCTATTTCCTTGAAAATTTTTCAAAATCCTCTCCATATTAGTTTCGAGCGTTAGACATTGAAAATTAATATTCATCTATATAAACCTACAACCTTCCTTTCCTTCACCATTTCCTGCCATCTTTTTTCTTCTCTTTCATTTTTCTCTTCTCTTCATTCACTCCACTAATATATTTCACTCTCTCATCTTAATCTTCTTTTTCTTCTTCACTCCATTTCCTCTTCCTTCTCCTTTTCCATTTCTTCTACTTTCCTTCTTGCTTTCTCTTGTTCTCTCCCATTCCTCTCTCTCTTCTATTTCCTCTTCCTTTAATATGTTACTTGGAATTAGTGGTCCTATTCATGCCAATTTATTGATAGTTTACTTTTCAAATTTTTCGTAATTTCCTTCATCCATAAACTCTCGAATATATTACTAATCTTTTAATATATTTAAGGTGTTTTTATGAATTACATAGTATTGAGGTCTATTTATTAATTTAATTTCATTTATTTTGTAATATTTCTTAAATTATATGATTGTGTAAATATGATTGTGTTTCTTAAACTCTCGAATATATTATGTAATGTTTTATATATGATTGTGTTTATAGAGTAAATATGTTAAATATAGCTGTTTATGTGTTAATTAATGTTAATATTTTATAAAATACTGTTTTATTATTAACATTTTATATATTTAATTTCTTTAATTTTGTTATATGTGGTGTATTTTCATTGATCAGTTTTAGTATTTTTATATATATAGTCATGATTAATATGCTTAATATTATTTTATGGTTAATTTATTCAAATTAATTATTATTTTAAATTTGTAAATATTTTTTTATTAATATATAATTATTGTAATGTATAAACAAAAAATATTATTTTTTTTAACTTTTAGATATTATTTTTCACCGGTAGAAAATAACATGTCAGACTACAATAATATGCATGTAAGCCATCGACTGTTTTTCAGTGTTGAACATTGAAAACTAATAGATAACATCAATCTAGAATATATTATGAGTTTGCCATCATTCATTATTTTCTAGCACCCAACATTGAAAAATAATAATAACTTTTGCTGGTGCACTTTTTTACACTAAAAAATAATTATATAACATGCAATTTTTTTCATCAATATTTTACAGTGCTCAGCACCAGAAAATAACAATTTTCTAGCATAAAAATAACATTTTTAAATAATTTTAATTGCAAATTTTCTTCAATAAATAAATCTTATTAAGCCTAAATCTTTATATTTTTATTTTTTAAAAAAAATTAAGGTTTGTGCCCAACTCTGCTTAAATAGTTCCGGTCCCGTGCCTCACTCTACTCCTCTGCTGTCACTGGAGTCATTATGACTGGATTCACTTTTATCTCCACTGCAATAGATTGGTCCATTTCCCTCTAAAATATTTTAAACTCGTGATAAGAAGTTGCTTAAATAATATTAAAAAAATGCTCCACCGAACGATCTCCTACTTTATTTTGACCTTAATCTAGAACGCACCTCTAAGTATGTACAATGTTGACTCACGAGTGTGCCTTGAACAATTTCTAGAATGTAATTAAGAGTTATGTTTGGATTAGCTTTAGTTTTTGGCGTGTTCAGCAAAATTATAATTAACAACTTGCTTTATAAGCTCTGCGAAACATGCAGAAATATTTTTAAATAGAACTTTTGTAGAAGTAACTAAAAATTTTGAAATTTGATGAAGCTATCAAATTGAAAAACTTAATAAAAAAATTATTTCAAAAATTACAAAATTGTAACTTAACTTCTAGCTCTCTACATTCTATAAGCTATAAAAGGACTTTTCAAATTAGTTAAAAACACTTTAAAAAATGATTAAATGTCATTTTTAGCTCTTAAACTTTTAATTCTAAACATTTTTAGAAAAATTCCTTTACGGTACATTGTTGGGGTGTGCTAGTGATGTCGGTTGATGAGTCAGCAACAATGATAATGTGGAGGCTGACTAGGATGCCACTCATGAATGATGAGGAGCATCCTTTTGGCAGCACCCGTTTCACGTGCAAGAGGCTACATGCCACGGGCTGTCTTATTCTGTCTAGCGATGTTGGTTAGCAACAAACTCTCTAGCAAAATGTGAAAGTACAAATTTTCTAGCCAAGCTGGGAAAGTGAGGTGATGATGATGTTCCGTGTAAGGACGAATTATGGGCTCTCTCCGACAAAGTCAAGAAGTAGAGTTTTTCCAACGAAGACTAGGAGTATTGCTTCTTCAATGAAGTTCAAAAATAAAGTTTCTCCAACGAAATTCAAACATAGAGTTTCTCTAACGAAGACCAAGAATAACGCTTCTCCAACGAAATCTGAAAATGAAGCTTCCTAGCAAATTTCAAGAATAGTGTCCCCAACCAAATCGATGCCTCTAGCAAAGTCTAAGAGTGAACCTTCTTCAGCGAAGTCAAAAGAGCTAGAGATTGGAATTGGGAATGAATATACAACTACCAAAAAATATGAAAAGGAAATATACATTGTGGTAGGAGTGTCAAGGATGAAAAATACATGATGATCAAAGATTACAACTTAAGGAACACATTTATACATAGAGTATTCTAACATAGTAATAATGAGAATGAATGTGCCCTCTACCATCTCTAATAAATACTCACTCTATAATGAGCAACTATCATGGTGCAAATGTGAAGTACAACAATTCCTCCTTTGAAGCTTTCCCAAGGACAAAAGAATAAACTTGAAAGTTGTAATGTCCCAAAATTTTGTGATATTTTAGCACTTAGTTAAGGACTTGATTGTGAGAAAATATTATTTTGAGACTTATTAGCTAAAATATCAAAACTTGAGGGACTTAAAAGAGGGAAGAATTTGGATAAGGATCAGCTATTTTTTTCTCCTTCACCTCTTTCTTCTTCAGCTCGATTTTGCTCTTGTTCTTCATCCCCCCCAAGCCCCCCCAACCACCAACTCATTTCTTTGAGAAAATTGGTGATAAAACTTGAAATTTCTCCTTCTTTCTTGCTCAATAACAAGTTTTAGGACTTAGAGCTCTGTCCCTCAACCCAAAAATTCCAGATCTACTCTGCTCTTCCTCCCTTGTCCGTCGGTTTCTGCTATGTGGGTGCGAATTTCTGGGCTTTTTCGGTAAGAACAGCCATGAATCTCCCTTCTCCAGCTTTAATTGGCTTGTGTTTACTTTAATTTCTCTTGGTTTTCCAATTTTGGGTAGATCCCCCTGAATTTTCTGCACTTCTCGTCGGTTTCTCCCCAAACTGGTGACAAAACTTGAAATTTCTCCTTCTTTCTTGCTCAATAACAAGTTTTAGGACTTAGAGCTCTGTCCCTCAACCCAAAAATTCCAGATCTACTTTGCTCTTCCTCCATTGTCCGTCGGTTTCTGCTATGTGGGTGCGAATTTCTGGGCTTTTTCGGTAAGAACAGCCATGAATCTCCCTTCTCCAGCTTTAATTGGCTTGGGTTAACTTTAATTTCTCTTGGTTTTCCAATTTTTGGGTAGATCCCCCTGAATTTTCTGCACTTCTCGTCGGTTTCTCCCCAAATTGCAGCTCTGGTTTTGCTTGCTAAATTCTAGAAGTGGTAGCTTCATTTAAGTCCCAAATTACCCACTAGTTGCTGGAAATTTGTCTGTTAGATTGCTGCCCTATGCTGCCCGAAAATCTGTTAAAAAATGGGGATGAATTTCGGTAGTAATTAGAGCATAATTAAGCTTAATTCATGTATAAATTGCTTGAGTTGGCTGCTGTGATTTTGGAGGAAAATCCTGAGTGTTTTAGCCCTTGTTTTTGCCAAAGCCGTGCTCTTCCCTTTTTGCCGTGGGATTAGGAAACCAAATTGGTGAAATTTGGCTCTAAAACCTCTTGTTTAAGAAATTTTTGGATATTATGATTTTATTTAAAATATTTGGACTCGGGGTAGATATATGGTTTTGAATAAAAGTGAGTTATATTATGGTTGAATTTCGTGTGAAGCTCATTGGTTAGTAAATTTGGGAGGTTGTGCTAATAATTTTAGTAAGGTCTGAATGCATTTATTTGGAATATTAGGTGCTTTTATGGCTTAGAGCACTTGGGTTGAGTCCTTGATTTTATGCGATTTGAGATAAGTAAATTATGGTAATACCCTTCGGCTTTAAAAGTATATTTTAGCTTGTTTTTGAAGTGGTGGCAGGACTAAACCCGTTTTATACAAGTATGATCGATTTGAAATGAAATTATTATCTTTATGGATTTAAGCATGCCTGCTTGGAGTTTATTTAACTGCCCCTGATGATCTGGAAATTATCTGTAAAGTATGATTTTTTGTTAACTTTTGCCTATTTTGTCTCTGATATGGTTATGTTATTCGTGTGCTCGCTAGTGGGAGGTTTATAAATGCTAGCATATGTCGACATGTTACTGATAGAACCGGTTCGTTTCTGTTATCCTGCTAGTGGGATTATACACTAGTAAATCGTGTGCCTGCCAGTGGGAGGTTTATAACACTGGCCATGACCTATAGAGGAGACGTCTATTTCGTTTCCGTACTCGTACCTGTTTTCGTGATTATACTGGTTGGCATGCTATAAGTTTAATTAAGGGTTATCCATATTTACTTACTGAGTTATCTCATAGTTTTTCCTTGTCCACCATTTTAGGAAGCGAAGTCAAGGACGAGGAAAAACGAGGGGAGTGACGAGTTAGAAGGCTAGCCATCTTGTGAATTGAACATAGATTTAGATATAAATCATGATCTTGTAAGTTAGATTTTATTTGAAGATTTATGATATCAGGGCGAATTTTATAATTTTATCTTCAGATTTTGATGGTATCAGATTGTGGTATGATAAGTTCCGAACCTTGTGCATTTGTGGGACCCTCTCATAAGTGTACGGCGTCTGCCACGTCCTCGGATTTGGGTTCTGGGGCGTGATAGATTAAGTGGTATCAGAGCTTAGGTTTAAATTAAGAGCTTAGGATTAAATTAAGCACCTCCAGATTTAGTGGTATCAGAGCTTTAGGTTTAATTAAATACCTAGATTTAATTGAATACCTAGGATTTGTTTAGAACTTGGCTAGCCAATGGATTTTAGAACCGTGGTGAGACGAGTGATGGGGTTATATAAGGGACAATTCTGATTCATGTTGCTTGAAGTTTCTAATCCATTTTGATGAGATGGTAATCTGATTGTTCTTGTTTCCTGCCTTCATATCCTGTGTATATTCATGAAATTAATCTTGTCTACCATGTTGTTAAGACCTTGTTTTGAAACTTAGTCATTTTCTTATAGTCTGCACTTGTTTAGGCTTGTTACTTGAATATAATTTTTGTATGCTCTTTTGCCACCATTGTAAAATCTGAGGAGTTGTAAAGATCTTTTGTTATCGATCCTGTTGGTCTCTACAACATAGCTGGTTGAGAAATTTGTTCTGTTTGTCACATGACCAGTGGAAGATGGGCAAACCCTCTACTTTGTAAGAGATTCAAGGCCATTTTAGCAAATGTTGTGTGTTTTCTACATGCGTTTTAGGAGCTGGATAACTTGGTAATTTCGTTGCTCATTATCTTTTTGAAAGTCTTATAGTGAAGTTTCACTTTTTCCATTTGGAGCTTCATGGTCTTTTTATGTGGCTCATTTTTCTATATTGGTTAATCAAAAACAGTGATCAATTCAATTGAAATTGCCGTGTTTTTGTGAAGATTGGCCAGCTGTCATAAAGTTAAACTCTCTATTATTGCTAATCTCTACATTCTTGATACCTAGAAACTGCTTAAGACTCTTGAAATCCATCTTGAATCTTTCTTGAGATTGCTTTGTACTTGTTCTTGAAACTGAAATCCAAAAGAAATGGATAATGATTATTGAAATCCTCTTTATCTTGATACTTGTCTGAAATTAATTCTTGCACCGTTCTTGGAATCTTATCTTGAACCTTGCCTAGAGTAAAGTCATGTTAGCATCCTTTCCTTGAAAATCAATTGATATTTGGTTTTTGGAATCTATTTTGAATTGTCTTGGAAAACCATTCTTGTCCTGACCCTTACTCTTATTCAAATTTTGTATACTACTCTTGCTCAAATCTTGCATATTATGCTAGTTCTTGTTTTAGTATACCTGTTTGATCTTCTTGATTTTTGATTTTGTTCATATGGACACCTTTTTAGGAGGGTGATGATTATTAGAAAATACCTATATGAGGCATCCTAAATTCCTATCTCTTGCAAGTGTTAATCTCTGTATTCTTGATATCTTAGCTTTGACTAGACTCTAGGATGTCTAGGATGACTTGATTGTAAATTTGTTTAGCCTCCATGGGCTACGAGGTGAAGGGCTAGTCTTTAAAGTACCTGATGCCCTAGAGTTTTGTTCCAAGAGAAATGGTTCTTTTATCTGGCTGCTTTGATTTTGTTTGCCCTTTTAATTAGAAGACAGTAATCTTCTAAGTATCTTGATCCCCACTATTGATTAATTAATTCGTGTTACTTGGGGTGTTAGATCTTGACATCCTGGTTATATCTGCTCTTGAATCCGTGTTCTGGTTGTCATTATTGAAATCTCTTTTGTGAGCCTAATCCTTGAATTCTATTGCTTGTTTCATGGTTAACTCTTGTCTCTTAATTTTGACTGCTTTGTTAAATTTGATCTTGATTCTTGGTGAATGCCGTTTTGTTGCTGAAATTTTTGAGGCATTCTACCTTGCACTCTTATGTTCCAGTTTTCTTCCAAGCATTCGTATTTTCCATTGATTTCATTCTGATGCTATTCTGGAAATTCACATGTCATCTGATGGGTCTAGCTTTTAACTCTTGTTAATTGCTAAAATCTGTCTCTTGATTCTAGTTGTTTTGTTAAACATGATCTTACTTATTGGTTAACCTTGTTTTGTGGCAAAATGTATAAGGCATCCATGCACTCGTTCATTCCTTCATGATCCATATATCCATTGGATGCTTATCTGTCTTTGATAGAGTTCAAAGTTTTGTTGTGCTCGTCTTTAAATCCATGCCATTCTTTGCCAACTCGTCTTGTGTTGGGTTCATAGCATAGCCCCACAATTGTTCTTTTGCTGCTTTGGCAGGATTTATTTTTATTCCTTGTGCTTCCCATATCACCCCAACCTTCAGTAGCTTATTTCATGGTAAATCCTGTTAAGTAGTTAATGTTCTATTTTTATGATTAGTTGTGGTTTGATATTAGAGTGGCGCAGTGGAAACGCAGTAAGCCATGTTCTGTTCATAAAGAGTTAGTGAGGCATTTGTTTAGCCTTGGCTTCTGTGAAACCATTCACCAATCTAGATGATCCTCAATTTGAGTTTTGGGGACAAAACTCCTTTTTAGGAGGGGTGAATGTAATATCCCAAAATTTTGTGATATTTTAGCACTTAGTTAAGGACTTGATTGTGAGAAAATATTATTTTGAGGCTTATTAGCTAAAATATCCAAACGTGAGGGACTTAAAAGAGGGAAGAATGTGGATAAGGATCAACTATTTTTTTCTCCTTTTCCTCTTTCTTCTTCAGCTCGATTCTGCTCTTGTTCTTCATCCCCGACAGCCCCCCCAAGCCCCTCCAGCCACCAACTCATTTCTTTGAGAAAATTGGTGACAAAACTTGAAATTTCTCTTTCTTTCTTGCTCAATAACAAGTTTTAGGACTTAGAACTCTCTCCCTCAACCCAGAAATTCCAGATTTGCTCTGCTCTTCCTCCCTTGTCCGTTGGTTTCTGCTATGTGGGTGCGAATTTCTGGGCTTTTTTGGTAAGAACAGCCATGAATCTCCCTTCTCCAGCTTTAATTGGCTTGGGTTTACTTTAATTTCTCTTGGTTCTCCAATTTTTGGGTAGATCCCCCTGAATTTTCTACACTTCTTGTCGGTTCCTCCCCAAACTGCAGCTCCGGTTTTGCTTGCTAAATTCTAGTAAGTGGCAGCTCCATTTAAGTCCCAAATTACCCACTAGTTGCTGAAAATTTGTCTGTTAAATTGCTGCCCTATGCTGTCTGAAAATCTGTTAAAAAATGGGGATGAATTTCGTAGTAATTAGAGCATAATTAAGCTTAATTCATGTATAAATTGCTTGAGTTGGCTGTTGTGATTTTGGAGGAAAATCTCGAGTGTTTTAGCCCTTGTTTTTGCCAAAGCCGTGCTCTTCCCTTTTTGCCGTGGGATTGGGAAACCAAATTGGTGAAATTTGGCTCTAAAACCTCTTGTTTAAGAAATTTTTGGATATTATGATTTTATTTAAAATATTTGGACTCGGGGTAGA